GAACAATGGAAAAGCAGCAACACATGTAAATGATTCAATCGCTAATTGTTGAAACAAAGAAAGAAAAAATGATAATAAACAAAGAACATATGCACTGGTGAGTGTTTGTGTGGTGTGTGTTCAGCAATGTTTGTGCGCCTGTTCTAGAAAGCATAGAGCGTTCTTACCAGTTAACTTGTGCAGTCAGAAAAAAAAATAGTTACCTTTCCTTCTGGTCAAAGAGGAACAGAACGCAACTTTTGTTAGCCCCTCCCATGGGTAGCGTTGCCATATGGCGATCTTTTTACAATATTCGAAGACCGAGACTCATGAACCAAATATATCGACCTTCATTCGATGGCGGGTTATTTTGCTATGTATTTTGATATTAAATATTTTATTATATGAAAAATAAAATAAGAATTTTGCATTTTTTCACTCATTATGACAAATGGCGAATAAGAACAAAATATTTATCATATGCAATACCCATTTAACAAATCAAATAATCAAACTGTTATCAAGTAGACACGGATATAATGTAAAGCGAAATAAAATACTGCATGACCTCTGGTGTCCGTGATTTGCATAAATTGGGAGCGGGTTTGTAATGCTTCAAACGGGGATATAAATGCTTCACGTGGATGGTCTAAGTTAATATGGATTGGGAATGGTGTATGAACCTCATGCACCATGGAGACATCTCACAATTTGCAAGGAGCTATCGTCGTTCTTCAGAGTGTAATGGTCAGCGCCATGACGTTTGGAGGCTTTACAGGAGAGAATGAAGATTTTTGAATATTAAAAACAAAATAACTTTGAGGTAGTCATTTGCCAAAAATATATATACACAGCTATAATATAATAATAATAATAATAATAATAATAATAAATAATAAATAATAATAATATAATAATAAGAATAAATAAAACTGAAAACAATTCGTTTCTTAGGAGGGATAAGCATGGAATCACAGAAAATGGAGACCAAAATAGGATGTAAATATGTTAACTATTAGGCAGCCCTTATATAAAACTTTTCTCTTGAACTGCAACATCTCTTCCTTAGCTCTAAATAACTGCGGGGAATATAAATTTCAACTAAAATGTGTACTCTATCTGCGCCATCTCTTGGTTGCAAAGTGTGCTGCTTTTTACTTCGTGTTTATTTATTTTATTTATTTTTTTTTTTTTTTTTTTATTCTTTGATTGTGTATGTGACGTCACTCAATATTATTGTATATACATTTTATCATTTGGCTAACAGATAATGAAAATTGTTTCATTAATTCTAATGACTGCAGCATCTACATAAAATTGTTACTCTATCACAAAATCTATTTTCGTAGGCTTACAGAGCTAACTGGTTTGCCTCGCTATGCCACAATACTTCGTCGATTTTTCATTTTAGTTGGCGCAAAGTGTAATGATAGTTATTTTTCTGTCTGTACACGAGAGAGGGCTACACTCAAGGTCGCGGTTGCCATATTCTAATCGTCTTTTGTTGTTATTAATGTTTGTTTATAGGACACAGTTAATGTATGTATGTTTAGAGTACATGCAGTTAATTTTCCGAGCTGTTCCATTCTTTGGGAAAACTACGTGTCTGTTGATTCCGTTTTCTGTATCATTTGCTGTGCCTTTTTAGACCACAAAGTCATTCTTTCCGAACTTCACTTATCTCGGATTAGCACTGTATAGCAAGATCGTCTACCTTTTTCTTCTTCCCGTCACTGTTATTACTTGTTTCCTTCTAGTTCATCTCCTTTACACCAGGGTCTATCTAATGGCTTCTCCTTGAATGGGCTTTCCTCCATTTTATCAATGTCCTTCTTTTAGGGGGGATCTCTACCACAGCAGCCGGAGTAGGCCTACATGGTTCTCCCAGTAATTGTCGTCACTATGTTTTCGTGTACATACATGAATACCCTCTTCGTGTTCTTACTTCCAGTGCGTCCGATTTCAGAAAAGAACAATCTGGCAACTCAGCCTGGAGTGGGGTACACTCCGAATCTCCAAATCTCTTGTTTTATTCTTATTTGCTAACGCTTACGCACATATTTTACATGTGTTTGGTAATCTTACATTAATATTATGGAATTACACCACTTTATTGTTCTATTTTAACAGACTTGGCTTATCGAAGTACTCGTTAGTCAGGTCGAGTTGCCTTTTTTTTTTTTTTTTTCTAAAACTGGACGGAGTAAAAGGATAACATTTTGTGAACTTTGTCAGTACGGTGATCCTCTGGGTTTTGGTCCTCACGTACACTTATCCAATGTACATTTTTTTTTAGTGCTTAATGATACTTCTCCTAATTAGTACTGGCGTATTTTTCCTGTCTCTAATCACGTGGCATTTGTGTGTTTGTTTGAGTGTGTGATTTTAGAAATGCGCGCGTGTATGTATTTTTGTGGTGTACACATTTCACGAATACCATTACCTAAATGCCATGAGCTGTCACCTATTTTGCGCCCTAAAAGTGAATGATGAGAATATCTTTTATTCCATATGGTTTAAT